TTATTTATTTATTAGAGAGAGAAAGTAGAAGTGGAGGGAGGAGCAGAGGGAGAGGGAGAGAATCTCAAGCAGACTCCCTGCTGAGCACAGAGCCCAGCACGGGGCTGTATCTCACAACCCCGAGATCGTGAACTGAGCTGAAATCAAGAGTCAGATGCTTAACCGACTGAGCCACTAGGCACCCTTTCTCATTTTTTAAACTTCTATTTTCTTTTCTTATCTTATCTATGTTCTCTATTTTGCTTCTCTATTTCTTTTTAGGAATATAGTAGTTTGGGAAGAAATTTTTTAATACTATCAGAAAAAAAAGTCTTCAAAATAAGGGAAAAACTAGAAATCTTTCAGTTCCTCTAATTTTTCTCCCTGTATTCACCTATACTTTTATGTTCTGGGTATTTCTCATGATTTTCTGTCTCCTTATACACTATTTATTTGTCTGAATGCTTTACACATATGTACATGTGAGATATATGTGTTTGTGTCACCTGTTTTTTGTATCACCTCAGAGGTAAGAAAATATGTCTAGGTCACATATACACATGTTATTGCATATATAATAATAAATTTTTCTTAGTTTAAACAGTTCTAAGTTTTTTTAACTTGTAAATTTATTACTTTTTTTACTCATTTTAAGTTGTGAGGTTTTTTTGGTGAGTTTGTTTTTTGTTTGTTTTGTTTTCCTTTTTTGTTTATTTTTGTTTTGTTTTGCTTAATCTTAATAGTTTTAAGATTAATAGCTTAATCTTAATAGTTTTAAGTACACAGAAACTTGAACCACAAATGTAATCAGAAAATAATACGTTAATCCAAGTTAATCCACATTGTTGACCTTCTGTGCCTACATCAGCAACAATAGCAGAATGTCTGGTACATAATCTCTTGCGTGGACACCCACATGCACAGGCCAAGTCTGATCTAGAAATGAGATCCTCTTTTGAGATGGTAGTTTTGATGGTTTTTAAGAAAGTACCATCAAGGATCTCATTTAATCCTCATAAGAGACAGGGTGGTTGTATGGTCTTATCTCATTTGTAAAGTGAAACTAGGTCAGACCAACTACAGATAGGTGTAGCATGCTCTAAGTGGTCGGTTAAGCCACGGTGGGGGTTACTAAAATACGTATTTCCTGTGTCAAAATAAAAAGAATTTATGATCTCTATGTGGAAGTAGAGTAACTTGGAGTATGAGAACTTAAGAATCTTGTCTTCTATAGAACAGAAATTTTATTTTTCAAAAGGCAGATGCTGTAGGGTGTGTTTCTGCGGATCTTTACTAAGCTTTGAGGCTGGGAGGAGAGAAGGAATGGGCCACAAGGACGCCATGTTCCCCATCTCCCTTATAAAACGGGCTCATGGGCAGGAACAGAGGACAGCAGTCAAGATTAGCTCAAAGGAAGGGGCGCCTGGGTGGCTCAGTGGGTTAAGCCTCTGCCTTCGGCCCAGGTCATGATCTCAGGGTCCTGGGATCGAGTCCTGCACCGGGCTCTCTGCCCAGCAGGAAGCATGCTTCCTCGTCTCTCTCTGCCTGCCTGTCTGCCTACTTGTGATCTCTGTCTGTCAAATAGATAAATAAAATCTTTAAAAAAAAAAAAAAATTAGCTCAAAGGTTGCTTCCGTGGCTTTGCTACCAGGAGGTTTAAAAAATGATCTCTTAGAAACTTTAGAGGTAAAGTGATGTGCTTTCATTAGAGAGATGTAAAACTGATTCCAAGTCCTTAAGAGAAAATGGAAATGAAACATAAGAGCCAAAAATAATTACACCAACCACATAGTTAAAAACCAACAACAAAACTGCTTCAACAGGCACCATGTTCCATGTGGCATTTGGTTTGTTTTGCACAATGTCATAAAAGTACACGGTCAATATACTTCCGGTTAAGCAAAGTGAAACCAGAAATAGACTCTGTGCTCCATCTACTCTAATTCAATACACACAAAAAGGCGAAATAAATTTAAAATGATAAACGGATCCAGGTTGCCTGTGATGCTATACCATTCTGAAGGTGGATATTGTTCAGGGAGAAAATTCAGAGTAAACGGTTTCCTTTTATAATTACGTTAAGAAGAACATGGGTATTAAATCCATACAGAGTTTCATTTGAATACAGGCTCTATCGCTTAGGCATTTTTTGATGCTGGAAACTTTACCTCTTTTTCTCGTGATTTTCTTTACCTGCTAAATAAGTAAAAGTATTCCTTCAGAAAGTTTTTGGAAAGACATTATCCCCTTTCATGAAGTTGTCACAATTTCCACGGAAAGTAGGAAAAAAATGCTTAAAATCTTTTCAGGAAGAGTGCCATACAAGAAAACAAACAAGACCAGCCTGGTTACATGTTATTGAATCATCTGATTATATTTTTCAGTTAGTTTCTGCCTCCCTCCCCGCTCCGCCTTAGAAAGAGGTTGCTCAAGACTGAACTGTTTTTGTTGCGTATGAAACATCCCTGGGTGGTTGTGCATACGGCTTGGCTGTGCCGTCATTTACAAGGGAAATGGTAAAAAGGTGCAGAGAGTAAAGGATTACTTCTGTTTTGGCTGGTGGGTTGACAGAGCCACCGAGATCCCTGTCTCCACCTTGACCTAGATCTCTGTCTCTTGCCTATCTTTATATCCTATCTATGTATTCTAACCATCCTAATTATTCACCTCATTTATTTTCTGTTTCTTCTGAAATAATTTTGAACTTGCAGAAAAGCTGCAAAAGAGCTTTTTGTCTTATCATTTGAGAGTAAATTAGCAACGTGATGTGTCATCACTTCTAAATACCTTCGCATGTAGTTGCTAAAAGCAGGGGTATCTCCTACATTAGTCATCAAAATCAAGAAATTAGCCATCAGAGCCATAGATCCCTATTTATATTTTGTTCAAATTATGTACTTTGTAGGAGAAGGATCCTGTTCAGAATCGCATATTATCCTGTCTGTTTAGTTTCCTTTAGTCTGAAATAGTTCCTCCGTCTGTCCTTGACTTTTCAATATCTAGATATTTTTGAAGACTACAGAGAAGTTATTTTTGACAGATATCTCTCAGTTTGAGTTTGTCTGCTATATGTCCCTGAAATTAGATTTAGGTGGTGTATTTTTATTAGGAATATCACAGAAGCTACATGTTCTTCTCATTGCATCTGATATGGGAGTGCATAATTCCTATTTGTTACATTACTGGAGATTGTTAACTGTGATCACTTACTTAAAGCCATGTCTACCAGATTTCTCTACTGTAAAATTACTCATTCTCTCTTTATGATCAATATGTGGTGGATGGTGGTTTTGGACTATGTAATATTTTGTTTCTTATCAATCTTCCACCAACTAGTTCTAGCATCTATCTATGCTTCTTGGCTGAATTAATTATTACTCTGATAGTTGCCAAATTCCTTGGTTCCTTCTGCATTCATCAGTTGACATTCCACTCCAAGGAAAGGCTCCCTTCTTTTCTTTTTTATTTATTCACTTTTATTTATGTTAGCATGGGTGCATGGATATTAAAAATTATTTTATCATTTATGGATATTTTTTTTAAGATTTTATTTATTTATTTGACAGACAGAGATTACAAGTAGGCAGAGAAACAGTCAGAGAGAGGAGGAAGCAGGCTCCCTGCTGAGCAGAGAGCCCGATGTGGGGCTCGATCCCAGGACCCTGGGATCATGACCTGAGCCGAAAGCAGAGGCTTTAACCCACTGAGCCACCCAGGCGCCACCCATTTATGGATATTTTTAGTGGATTGCAATCTGTTATTACCGTTATTCATTTTGATATTTAAAATGTCCCAGACTTGCCCAGAGGGAGCTCCTTAATTTCCTTTTTTTTTTTTTTCAAAGATTTTACTTACCTATTTGACAGAGAGAGTGATAGACGGCCCAAGCAAGGGGAGAGGCAGGCAGAGGGAGAAGCAGGCTCCCCACGGAGCAAGGAGCCTGATGTGGGGCTTGATGTAGGGCTCAATCCCAGGACCCTGAGAAGAAGGCAGATGCTTAACCGATTGAGCCACCCACGAACCCCGAGGGGGCCCCTTCAAACCGTCTTCCTCACTCTTGGAGCACTCTCTGGCACAATGAGATGAACCAGGCCCATCTTCACCCTGCTTGTATTCCAGTAGTCTAAACCAGGCCATTGCTGCCACCACCTCCCCCACATCTTCCCCTCCTTAGTTGGGTCGTGAAGTCCTGCCACTGCCTACTTGTTGGGACTCAACTCCTCAGGAGGGGAGAGAAGGATGAAGAAAGGCATGGATGGATGGATAGGTTGATGGATAGCTAGGCCGGCTGACTGACTTAAAAAAAAAAAAAAAGTGTTCTGCCCATAGGTATTGGGAAATAAAAATACTAGTTCATCAGTCTGATAGGGAAACAGATATTTGGATAATCAGAAATGACAGATATGTCCCAACTAATTTATGTATTTTAACCTAGGAATGTGTCTTAGTTCCTTCGAACTGCTATAACAAAATACCAGATTGTGTAGTTTATAAACAACAGAAGTTTACTGGTCAGGATACTGAAGGCTAGAGAGTCCAAGATCAAGGCACCAGCCAGCACCGTCACCTTCTGGTGAGGGCCCTCTCCCTGGTTCAGAGCAGGTGTCTGCTCACCCTGTGCTCACATGGTGAAAGGGGCTAGGGACCTCTGGGGGGGTCTCTTGTATAAGGCACTTATATGTATACTTATGTGTAAGGTCTCTTGTATAAGGCACTTGTATAAGCCACTAACCCCATTCCTGTAGGGCTGTACCATTGTGACCCAAGCACCTCCCGAAGTCCCCACCTCCTAGTATCCTCATCTTTGGGGGTTAGGATTTCAAAATATGAATTTTGAGGGGACACATTCAGACCATAGAACATTTCTGCTGTCTACTGATGTTTGAATATGGGTCCATTTACTGTTTTGAGAACTCGGCCTAAACCAACCCAAGTTCTCCAGCTCTTTATCCTATTCGATATACGGCCTCCCTGTCTGACGAACTTCTAAGTCCACTATTTGCTATATCCTGGAATCAGGCTTAAGAAATCCTGTTCTTTATGGTTTCCTTTCTGATGTCTTTTGCCCTGTCATGCATAAGTAGACGCATGGCCTACAGACCAGTTGGCACTGTACAGAGAAGCATTCCGTAGTTTGCTCCTCAGGAAGCCTTGGTGGAGAGCTACTTCGTGCTCTTCCTCTTCGATTGGGATTGCCCCGTGCTCTGGTTTCCAGGATCCTTGCCTCTCATGAGGGCTGATGTCTGGTTAAGAGAGAGAATCTGATAGTCTCAGGAGGGAGGTTTGCTTTTAAAAAGTCTGGAGGCAGATAGGGTAGGTGAGTGGGAGAAGAGAAGGAATTTGAGACAAATTGATTGGAATGAAGCAACTACTCTGGGATGGCTTTGCATAACAGAGCTGGTTGGTTAATAAGTTCCAGTTTCTGTCCTAGTCCTTTAAGCCTTAAAGAAAAAAAGGAAGCTCTTTGAAATTGGACCTTTTTTTTTAACGTGTTGCAATTAGGCGCATGTCCAGATGAATCCTAATTTCGCTAAACCCGCCCCTAGAAGACTACTGAATTTATTTGAAATCACTGAGTCATGAAGATATAAATATATAGTGAGTACTTAATAAACGAACTCTGATTTCAAGAATATCAGATTTATGAAACTGAGCAATACTGTGGAATTAGGTAGTACTAAATTAGAAATGTAAGTTTAAAGCACATAAACCATATGCAGTTTTCATAACTTTAAAATGGCAAATGGCTTTACCGTTTAACTGGTCTTGAAACAAGTGATTTCTTCTTTACAAACTGAAAGAACTGTAGGTTTTTTTTTAACATTACAACTGTTTTGAGAGACATTTTGTGCCACAAAAATGTTAGTGTATATTCTAATGTGATACTATGTTTTTGTTTTAATTTGGGGGAGGACTTTTTTTTCCTTAAAGTATTTTAAAATTTGTTAAATACACATCAGTGGGAAAAACTTTAAAAAAAAAAAAAAGCATTAAGTACACTAAGATAAATAAAAATATTTTATCAGAATTCTTTTGGCATCCCAGCTACCACTTCTATTTCATGCCATTATCTCTAAACTCACTGTAACTACACAGAACCCAGTAAAACCTCTTCTCTGGTTTCAAAGTCACTATTGACTCTTTGTCCTTCTTGTTCTACCCTTAACAAACTGCTGGGAAGTGTTTCCAAGTATTTTACAGCTGGTCTACCTCATCCTTCCTTATTGCTGAAGTCCTGTCCAAACTTTACATTAGAGCTGTGCGTATTGATCTCTGCTTAAGCCTTTTATTCTACCTTTCGCCCAGTTCTCACTGCTATGAATAAACTTTCTTTTTACCAGTCATGGTGCATCCTCTTCAGCTTCCTTTATTTGTTCCATAGTTTCATCAGAAATGTATTTGTCTCAGGCTATCTGCCACTGGCCTTTTGTCAGTGCCACGATCGGTCAGAAAACAGCCATTATGGGGCGCCTGGATGGCTCGGTGGGTTAAACCTCTGCCTTCAGCTCAGGTCATGGTCTCAGGGTCCTGGGATTGAGCCCCGCATCGGGCTCTCTGCTCAACAGGGAACCTGCTTCCCCCCGACCCCCGCCTGCTTCTCTGCTACTTGTGATCTCTCTCTCTCTGTCAAATAAATAAATAAAATCTTTAAAAAAAAAAAAAAAAAAGAAAAGAAAACAGCCATTAGGTAAGGGTCTGCCAGGTGCATACTTGGTACCAGCCACTGTACTAGATGCCGCGAATATTGTGGCCAATAAAATAAACACATCACTGCCTTGGTGGAACAGTCTAGTGGGAACAACAGCTAATTAAACAAGAGAGTATGTACAATTAAATGACTGTAACTGTGGGAAGCGCTTTGGAGAAGAAGAACACGTGGGAGCAGGGAAGGGGCATGGGTTTGGGAGGCTGAAGCTGAGATGTGAAGACTGAATACATATTAACTGGTTGAGGTCTGGGTTGAGGAACATCTCAGGCACAGAATGGTTCTTGCTCTTCTCATCGTCACTTTTTTTGCTGTAATGAAGCAAATTCTCCTACTGTTCAGCCAAGCCCATCATGGTGCTTCTTCCTTCTTAATGGGTTTTTGCCTTTTGGCCATGCTGGTTTTGTGCTGTCAACCTATTTTGGAGCTCTGGAGGTCCCTGTTCCCAGTTCTTAGACTAGGATTTAGTCTAGGAGCCAGTGGCAGGCTCTTAAAGTCTGATTTGTCCTCTGCCTTCTACCCTGTTACTCTTTTTTCCTTCCATTAACTCCATCAGTCCCAAAGTGGGATTTCTGTCGAAAAGCACAGGCCAGCAGTGGGCATGTTAGAGGGGATTTGCTGATACTGAGTCTCTTCCCCTAAACACCTGGATTCCATTGTCTGCAACCCCCCTTCTCATCCTAGTGACATCATAGTTTAAGGTGATTGAAAAATGCCTCTTCCCTAAAGGAAGTTGAGGTATTTTGCTTCGGATCATTAAAGGATATGCATATTAACTGTGAAGTTGCGTACTCTATCATTGTTTCATGTGTTTAGCCAGTGCTTTATAGCTTACATTTCTTGATTCAAGTTATTCCAAAATTTCCATTTTTATAACCAGCATTTGAGATTTATTAGTATATTGATATTTACTATCACTACCACCGTGTTTCCTGGTGATGTAAGGACATACAAGCTTGCAGATACATGTCAACAGAAATGACCTTACTGTACTTGTACAGAGTAGCCAAAGTGTGCTCCCCTAACATTGGTTCTTATTTTTTTTTTTAAAGCAATGCATTGTAACTGGGCAGCTGGTCAGACTATTTCTTATAGCCCAGCTCCTTATGGAACCATAACCAGTTCTGGGGCAGAGGGACAGAAAACACACAATTTCCTTCACATGATTTTTCCTTTTTCCTTTAAATATGTGTATTTATTAAAAGAACAAGAAGATGAAATAAATACTAATGTATATGAAAACACTTATTATAATGAAACTAAAATAAACTGTAAAATACAGTATTAGCCAATAGTAGACCTACTTTAGCTTCCACCATTTTATTGTTCTAAATAGAGGATGACCATCTTATTTTAAAAATAGTTTATATTTGGGAGCCTGGGTGGCTCAGTCAGTTGAGCATCCGGCTCTTCTTTTCAGCTCAGGTCATGATCTCATGGTCATGAGATGGAGCCCCACATTAGTCTCCTTGCTCAGAGGGGAGTCTGTTTGACCGTCTGTCCCTCTCTCTCTCCATCCCTTCCCCCAGCTTGTGCTCTCTCTTTCTCTGTCACTCTCTAAAATAAATTAATCTTTTAAAAATGTTTTATGGTGGGGAGGGAGGTATGGAGAGGGTGGTTGGGTTATAGACATTGGGGAGGGTATGTGCTATGGTGAGTGCTATGAAGTGTGTAAGCCTGATGATTCACAGACCTGTACCCCTGGGGCAAATAATACATTATATATTAATAAAAAAAATTAATGTTTTATAACTAATTGTGGTAAAAGACGCATAAACCCTGCTTTTCAAAACTCAGAGTCTAGTACCAATTGAACATCTTTCCATTCCCCCGTCCCTTCTGCCCTGGCAGCCTCCATTCTACTTTTTGTCTCTATGAATTTGACTATTCTAGGCACCTCATTTAAATGGAATCAAAAAGTATTTGTCTTTCTAGGACTGACTTAACTCACTTAGCATAATGTCTCCAAGGTTCACTCATGTTGTAGCATGCATCAGAATTCCCTTCCTTTTAAGGCTCAGTAATGTTCCAGTGTTTGCATGTGTCACATTTTGCTGATCTGTTCATCTGTTGATGAACACTTGGGTTGCTTCCACCGTTTGGCTCTTGTGTGTGAATGCTGTTGTTCTGAACATGGACATACGATATTTCTTCAAGACCCTGCTTTCAGTTCTTTGAGGAACTTATCTTATTGAGCCCCAACCTTAACACAGAGATAGGGACTCTTAACTATTTAAACAATGTGGGAGGAAAGGAAAGAGGGAGGAAAAGGAGGCAGTCATTCCAGAAATTAGGCAGATGGTAATCTGCCAGCCATGTGAGGTTATCTAAGTCGGCTTCGGTGTTTTTCAAAGTGTTGTTCATGAATCAGCTGCATTAGAATCTCATGGAATCCTTGTTAAAAGTTTTGAGGTGCTTCACCAGAGTTCACAAGACTGAAAGTCTTGTGAGACTCGGGAATTTGCACTCCTGGTGATTCTCACACACACTGAAATGTGAGATGTACTGCCCCAGTGGCAGGAAAAGGTCTCAGAATTTTCCTCTGTTTCTGCATTTGAAGGCTCTGCTCCCCGCCACTTTCAGCCCCTCCCTTCCTTTGGCGCGCCATCATCCCAGGCTATCCCATGACACACTTTCTTGCCCTCTCTGTCTATATATTGTAGCCCAGCTGAAAGTTTTATAAATGTAACAAAGGATGGCCAGGCCTGAATTTGCAACCTTAAACTTTGATCTGGGCCCTTTTTTATTCAAGGTCTTTTCTTCCTCAGTATACTAAGTGGCAATTCACTGTTGCTGTCTGTCTGCTTCAGTCTGGGGCCAGTGAACAGGTTAGGACTTCCTCCCTCGGTCTTGTGATGTCTAGGTTTACCTGAATTCTTAAAGAGACCACTTGTCTTTTTCTTAAGTGAACATTTTAAATATGACACAGTGTATTGCAGCCCTTGGGACGGTACTTTTACACATTTATGCCGTATGACCAAACGACAAGTGTGACATCTTCGGTAAAACCAACCAGGTTCTTCAGCATTGTGAAATCAAACTCCTTGTCTTCAAGTTATCAGATCGCACCCCCTATCATATCTGCTGTGTGTGGCTTTGCTTCTGATTGTGATCTGTGATTTGCAGGGGATTCATTTTTTTTTTTAAATATCAACTTTTCTTCAAATAATGTTGATGTGTTTTCAGAAATACTCTCTTCAAACGTCTGGGTGACACAAGAGCGTGTTTAATATTTGACTGCCATTAAAAGTAATACTAATGACATACTTAAAAAAAAAAATGAAAGGAGCTGTGGGTGGAGTGGAGCCTCCCACCGAGGCTGCGTTATTAGTGATAGGTTGATGCCATCATTTTACCCACAACAGTGGAGTGGTAAGGAAGTTTGGTTTTGTCATCGCTGGCCACCTTTTCATAGAGTGCTCCCTGCAGATTACTATTCCTTAAGTGATTGGGTATTCCCATAATTTTTAGGTTTTGGCTCATTTCTACAGCCAGTTTTTGTGACTGACTTTTGCTCAGTTGAAATCCCTTCTAGGA